TTAATATTACATAATATTAAGTAAGGAATAAGTCATAGGTCATTATTACTTACAAAATTACTTTGCCCCTCTCTAATATCATTATTATATTGTACAGTACATAATTTTTATTGTAAAATATATTACTTTACCATACCATACAGCACAAGATTTTAACCGTACAGTGCAAGAAATCTAAAAACCACAATCACCTTGCAGAGACAACAAAGTATAAAAGTAGTATTTTGAAACCAAATGCTGTATTTCCTAAATTATTAGCGTCAATAAAGTGTGTATGTACAGTGCAAGGAATTTAAAACCACAATCACTTCTTATAAAGTACTTATAAAGTATAAACAAGTAGCATGTACATAAGTACTTTATTGAAGTCGATAATTTAAGAAATATTTGACTTCAAATGTGCTACTTAATTATGCCTATTAATTTAACTCTGGAGAGATGGTGGTTTTTAAATTTTCTGTCGTGCATAATCATTGAAATCAAATATTTCTTAAATTATCGATTTCAATAAAGTATTATGTACTCACTTTATTGATGGTAATAATTTAGAAAATACTGTGCTATATTTGATTTTGATATGCTATTTGTTTATACTTTGTCTCTATAAGGTGATTGTGGTTTTTAGATTTCTTGCACCGTACCATTCATAATTTCTATATTAAGAAAAAAATATTATTAATCGCGTTTTTTTTAATTATCATTACACAAACCAATGAAAGCAAAACAATAGCATAATAAGTGATGTGCTCAATTAATTAAATATACATCAGATAATATATGTCATAGTAATATGCCATGATGGCTAATAATGCTGGATTCTTCAATTTTGATTATGATCAAATAATAAAAAAAACAATAGAAACTTGCAAGTTTTTTTCAAATTTCTTTGCTGAGGTTTTTTAAATATTTAAATAAAAGCAACTTTGAATCAAAATTTGCTATAAAATTATGATAATTTGTGTATTCTTTTTGCCATTTTTAAATTGAAATGGATTAATATTTTCATTTGTCATATGAGACTTTATATAAAGCTGCAATTTAATTTTTGATCACTTCAAATCTACTTGTTCTTCAAATTTAAAAGAAAAGTAGTCAACTTACCTACCAATATTGATTCAGGCTTTTCATGTGACGATTTTTACACTTCACTTCATAATTAAATTTAATTATTCACTAATTTGAAACTTAACGTTCCAGATAATTTTTGTATAAATATCAAAAAAATAATAATTCGGTTACGATTTACATATTTCAAATGATCTTTGCATTATGACAAATCCGATTAATTTTATCATTATATTTGTAATCATAAACGGAATTGGACCCACCAAGCTATTGTGACAACCTCAAATTTTTGGAGTTATTATATTTTTTTGGTTCTAGAATTCCCGATGCAACTATGAATTTCATTACAGTACTTTTGGGTTAGTGATTCTGAACTAGAGACATTATCCTGCTTGAAATGCTCAAATCTGCTTAATGAGATTTGCTCATTATCACTATGATTACTTTTTGATATGTGACTAATTAAATGCTTTTAAGAGCATACTTTATTAACGGTAGTCAGTAATTTAGCTTAATATGAAATCTAAAAACTCTGTTTATGAAACCGGATTACTTAAAACTGCTTGAAAGCAATTAATTGTTGAGTATGATTTATCAATTTTTTGCTGCTCATCAACCTTGTCGTTAATATCTTTTCAAATAAAGTTAATAATTATGAAAATTTATTTATTTTGAACCCAAACGGCGTCTGAGCATGGGACAAAGTCACGTCTTAACTTCTTTTAGACCACTGTATTTCTTGATCAAGCATTTTAAATTAAAGCGCGGACTGTACAGCGTCCGCAGCCTGCGTAAACAAAAAACATCTTTATACATCTATATTACCCTATCGTTATGATTTGGGCATTTATTCAATTATTTGTATTTTCAATACTTATAATAACAGAAATTTTTATTGGTTGCATCCGCTTTATAAAATTTACAACTTCTCTAACCATAATTTTAAAATAACTATTTGCTATAAACAAGAAAATTAAAAACCTATTTTTTTAGTCTAAAGATTTACATAAACTATTTAATACAGTTATCTAACTTATTGATTCAAATTTTTATTAAAACAACTTTAAACAGTATAGTAAATTTTCATTTCAGCTCGTTTAATATAATTACACCAACCTGGAAATTCTGATCGAATCCAAAGTCCCACAAAATCTCCAGGTTGCAGACTTTGTACTAGTGGATGATCTGATAAAAACTCACAATTATGTGTTTGCCAATTATCATCCGCATGTTTATTTGTATAAACTAAATATCTAGTTTTCGGTTCCTTTTCAACAACTTTGTAATTAATTGATTGACCCTGAACGTCATTATTTAGTTCTGGGATAACAATGGAAATTTCTCCCCACGTCCATGAATTATTATATGCACCACGATCTTGAGGATAAGATGACCATCCTTGATCGTGAGATTCGCATGTAATTTCAATCTTCTCGCATTTTGGTATTACCGCTTCAGTGGATGTCGATGATGTCGGTAATGATCCAGTAAGATATACAATATTCATGTATGACCCGTTATGTAGTTTATGTTTGCTATATGTGACAGAAGGGCATTGTTCTGTAAAGTCGAATTTAACTTCTAAAATTTTAGAATAGATAAAAAATTAGAATACATGGTAAAAGCTAATAAAAGAAATTCATATTTGACCAAACTCACGATTTGCCCTTCCTTTACCAATACCAAGTTGATCATCACTAAGCCTCAAAGATTCCAGTGCGTTGTTTTTATAAATAGCTTGTACAAGCTTTTTCCCTTCGTTAGAGCAAAGATTATCTAAACCAATGTTCAAGGTTTTAATAGCCGTATTTGTATATAAAATTTCTGCTATCGTTTTCACTATTTGGTCATGGACTGTATTATAAAGGCTTATACATTTGAGATGTTTACTTTTTCGTAGAAGCATCGCAATTAGTGAAAATTTTATTGCTTGAACCACGTTATCATAATCTTTATGATCTTCATGATCTTCATGATCTTCGTCATCATCATATTCTTCATCATCATAATCAGTATCATAATCTACTACTTCTTCATGTCTAGACTCGTAAGTTATATGATGAACAGTATGTCCTTCGCTATTAAGCCAACTTGCAATTCCTTCCAAAAGATTATAATCAATAATAGACGTAGTATATGTTGTGTAGTCTAACAATGGTTTCGGCTCATTAGGAAAATTTATTTTGAATGGAATTAATTGTACTTTTTCTTCAGCATTTAATGATAAAAGATATATTTTGATAATTCTTGCATCTTTAGAATAATCCAATGGTCGGCTCCATAATATTGGTACAATATTCTAAACCATTGACGACTTACAAGAAGACATGAATATAAACTTGTATAACTATCCTGTAAATTATTAAAAATTTCAAAAAAACATTCGTTTGGTATTTCAATCATCTTGAGATTTCAATATTAAATTAATGCACTAGTGTCAAATATTTACGCCTTATATATTGTATCTCAACTATAGGTGCAGAATGCAAGTGATCTATACGTAACTAAGTGCCGTAAATAGCCCTACTTATCGGAGTTTTATGCCGTAAGTATTGCATCACTTTTGGAAATGAAAAGTAGATCACTTATGAATTCATAAATGATCTATTTTTAGATTTCCGGGTTTTCAAGAAATTAAAACAATATCAGCGCAGTAATCTCCCAAGATCACGGGAATTAATATCCCAAAAAGTTTGCAGTAATTATTGCGCGAGTATACAAATTATCGCCAAAATTAGCCAATGAATAATTAATATTAGATAACGTAAAAAAAAATTGAAGTCGAAAATATTACCTAATTAACCACCTTTCGTACGAAGTTATAATATAAATGGTGATAGAATTCAAAATGGAATTTTTAACAATGAAAATGATTAGCAATCATTGCTATACAGTAATTTCAATTTTTGAATTCTACCATCATCTATAAGTTATAATAAATCATCATGGTTAAAAAACCCCATTTATTGGTCGAGATCATGTTAATAAAACTCGTGAGAATTTATGATTCATTAGTCATCCTGTCGACTGCTTTTTATCCAATAAAAGGCAATTCCAAAGCATATTTATGATAAAAAAACATATTAAAAGGCGTAAAAAAAAAAAGCTACAATTTATATAAATTTTATACAACTTTTGTAAAAAAGTTTAGTTTAAAATCGAATTATTTATATTGTACAACATGATTGCACAATTGAATTTTTTTTAGTAATAAAGTTAATAAAAGGAAATTTAACCATGCTTGCTAGATCATATGATCGAAAAGAAAGGCAGCCACAATGAAATAGGGCGTAAGGCCAATCTCGCCATGGAAGCTAAGAATCATACGATTTGAGATGGGCAAGGTACGTACGTACTTCTTACGTAAAAGTTAAATCACACTATGTGACGGTTTAGTATAATATTAGTTGTAAGTACGGTATATATTATTACAGTAGTAAATTGTCGCATGGCGTGATTTAACTTTTACGTATAAATAAATAAATTACCTCGAAATGCAGCGGCACGTGTCAGCAATGCAATATCAAATGCTTGATCAAGTGCGGGTATTACGGAAATATGTACTGTATGAACCGATATGTATGTAATGTATACTATTGTTTGTATAGTTGTATAACATA